CGGCTTCGCAGCAAGGGATGCCATGCGCTCCATGAGAGTATCAGACAACGCCTCCTCGCTACAGGCAGATGCCGTTGCGATCATGGGAGCCCTAGCCCACGCGTCCCCAATGGAAGGACACGTAGTCATATATACTGACTCTAGGGCAGCCATTGACTCTCTCAAGCTCAGCTCACCCAAAGACAATATCTACCTCCTGACCACAATACTGACAATAGCCCAAAGAATACTGGCTCAGGGTAGAAGAATCATTATTAACTGGGTCCCTAGCCATATTAACATCAGAGGGAACGAACTTGCTGACAGACTAGCAGTCTCTGGCAGGGGTATGCCCCCTAGTCCCATGATCATCGCACCTAGCCGTAGTTTACTTCGGAAGAAGAGTACTGGTGTCGCCAACTCCTTCCTCCTGCAGCTTCACAGAGAGGCAACGAGATCCTCCCCCTCGGCCAGATGGTATTCAGAAGCAACAGGCTATGAACCTCTGGCATTCTCCGAGTTAAAAAACAGACGAACCGAAGTCATTCTCCACAGAATGCGCCTAGGTTACCACTGTAAATGGCAGATGATTGAGACCATTGTCCGTGAAGAGAGGTGTTGCATGCATTGCGGCGAGCCGAACGCCACACTTGTACATTACTTAGAGAATTGTGTACACACACAATTCCTGAGACAGGGACCCCCGACAACAGCCGCCGTGCTGGTAAAGAGACTTTGCGATTCGCTTACCCCGTGGCAGCAGGAGCGCCTGCTGGCAATCCCACGGTAAGCGCCGAGTGTCACAGACTTAAATGAGTCAGCCCTAAAGAGCTGACACAGGCCGGGCCATAGCCGAAGGCCCGGGCGAAGCTAGAACTTCGCAAATCGCAATCGATCGATTGATCGTTTACACCCGAAATGCAAAGCATGAGTGAACGTGCGCGCATACACACAAACTCATAAGCTCAAAGCAAACATAGATCTCTCTGTCGGTTGATCATCAACCTCATAGGATCAGAAGACGTCATTTTGACAGACATCTATGATAATGCGACAGAGTTTAGGGTCCGTGATTTGGGTATTTGTTACACTGCATTATTTGCATAACATCTTGAGTATTTTAAAAATGAGCTAAGGAGCAGCACATGTATCGTACATAATTATTTTTAACA